CATTTTGTCTCTCATAGTTGAGGTATAGCTATGATGAAAATTACAGGCCTCTCTCATCTTTTTAAGTGGGAGAACTTGCACAATTGGTGGCTGACTAAATACTTTTTTGCCCCACTGTATAAGATCATATACTGAGCCAAATAACCATATCATAGTCACCTGTTTTTTAAAAATCTGATTATTACCTAGAATTTTTGTCCTCCTCAAGGCTAAAATATCCTTTTCATCCTGCATACTGTCTAATATATTAAAAAGCAATGTATATTTCAAATACAAGAAATGACTAAAACTGACATTTAATTTTGCACCTAAATGTAATATGAACTCACCGATAGGCTATATCAGAGTTTCAGACTAGATGTACATATCACACCAAATTTTGGTTTAAATTTGTTTTAAATGGTTTATAAACAATGTCTGACACAGTATGTCAAAATCATATAAACTGGATTATGTGAACCAGGCTTTAGCCTGAATAGTATTTCTTTAAAAAAAAATTAGGTACAGTTTATAATGGATAGAGGGCACAAACAATGCAAATTTTATAGCTTGTTTTGCATATCAGGTGTTCAAAAACTGTGATTTGCCAATTTTTTCTTCCCTCATCTATTTAAAGGAAGCAACAGATATATCTGCAGCAATATTTTCACTAACCAGTTAACCAAAACCAATTTGCAAACACATTTCTTTTGACCATGGTCTCAACTCTGAATTGATACTAATTTTAGCAGACCAATAGTGACCAAATAAAATAATTTTATTTCAGACAATGACCTGACTGACTCCAACAGTGACTAGAGATGGTTATGACAAAGAATTAGAATGAGGGAGTATGCTTGGTAACAGGCACCATAAATTTTCAACAGTCCTATGATCTCAACAAGTCTATGATGATGAACATCCCCCACAAATGTTTAGATACAAAACTAATGACAATAATAAGTGCTGAAAAAACAAAAGTCAACTTACCCAAGTTTTACAATGAAGATAAACTGTACAAGGTGAACTACTTTCAAGAGGTCATAGGATTCAAACAATCCTAGAGCCTTCAAAAATTTAGTGAAACACAGCAACACTATATATTTAGTCAGGCTGAAAAGAAGGGAAAAAAACCCTGTTAAATGCTAACTTTTCAAGCAAGGTTATACAATAATATAAGCATAATGTATTTTAGATAAGCTAAATTTCAGTGTATCAATTCTAGAATTAAAACTGAGGTCATAAACATTCTTCTTACTCCTAACAGAAAAATCAAAAGTAAGGCAACATTTATGATTTAAGTCCTTAATTTGAGTATGTCTTTACCTTTTTAATGGATAACTGCCTGAAATGATATCTGATCTACAATGCTCAATAGCTAGTTAAAAATTTAAGTTGTAAAATGCTGGGAGAACTGGATGTGCCTACGTACTCTATCTATATTCTGGAATTCTATGAAGTAAGCATGATTGTGCTATTCATGATGCATTTGGTGCTCAAAATAGTATACTGTTATTAATTTCTCTGCTCTACTGTAACACGCTTAAAAAAAAAAGATGCATCCTGGATGGGTACAGTGCAGCACCTAATAGCAAGCTAGCTTTCCCACTTGCATATTTATTGCTTTATAGCTCAAGACCAAACCAACATAAATAAAAACACATACAACAATTAAAATGCATGCATAAAAGTTACATAAAACCAAGACATTCAAAATTGTGAAGAAGGAACCAGTTGGCTTCTATAACTAAGCTACAGATAGAAATAAGATACATATTCAGCCTCTATGGCATGTACAAGTATGATTTTCACATGGGTGATTGAAGTCTGTCCCGGTTACCACCTGATGGGTAACACATTGACTCAGGCCAGAGAAAAAAAGCCTCCTTTTGGGATTCTGAAAAAAATAACTAGGAAGAGTCCAAGGAGAGGGGTGATTCCAGTATAATAAAAATGGGAAATTTTACAGGTGGATATCTAAGTCCCGGACCATCTGCTAGGGCTTTATTGGGGCTGAGGATAAATAAGGCTGGTTTTGACAAATCAAAATATATTAAAATTGAACTCTGAGTCTGGGAAAGATTTTAGTGTAAAAGAACTGTTGCTATTCTAGGTGAATCAGTCCCATCCATAAATATAGGTTTTTGGCATATATATCCCATACAGGGATAAATATAAATACAGGCCAGTGTATTTATATTTATGGATAAGAGAGCCAGTTTGGTGTAGTGTAGTGGTTAAGGCACCAGGCTAGAAAACGGGAGACTCTGAGTTCTAGTCCAGCCTTAGGCACAAAGCCAGCTGTGGGCTTTGAGACAATCGCTCTCTCAGCCCCCGCAAGAAGACCATGGTAACCTATTTTCGAAAGTATTGCCTAGGAAACTGCATGGCCTTAACATACACACATGCGCCCCCAAACAATCTTTAATAGTTTTGCAGAGAAGAAATCTAGCAGGTGTAGTTTAACATAACGAAACCACAGGCGGGAAAGAACAGATGCTTGTCCCTGCAGCTTCCGCCACAAGGAACGAATAACTTCTGGCGATGATACGGAGCTCCTAACTGGAAAGTCTAACGCGGCTGCCACCTTTTATGGCAGAGCAAGGACTCCGTCGGTGGGTCTTCCACAGAAAGACCCGACTGACAGTCTTTGATCGCTCTACCAAGACGACGACGCTTCCACGTCAGCCCGGCTGCAGAGCTCCGCGGCGTCTTGCCAAGGGACCCTCCCATCAGGCTCTGCCTGGACCCACTCGCCCCCTCGGCCAAACGCCCCCAGGACGGTCAATTACCGGGCGCTGGGTACATCCACAGGCCCCAGCCGCCCGCC